ATTGATAATATAAACACTCTTTACATTATAGTTTATTATTTTTCTGTCCATTGTTTTAAAAGCTATCACGGTTATGATTTGTGTTTAATAGTTTAGACAACTAAAAGCCCATGAGCCGTGGCTCTTCTCTTTCAAGGGTAGAGAATCAACCCAAGCCTTTTGCTTCTGCACCCCCTAATTACGATATACACCTCCGTAATTTTGAAAACATCCTTTCTAAATTATTATAAATAAAATTTTAGAATTTGAATAATTTGTTAAAATTAGCAACTAAAGTGTGTATGAGGAGTGGTCCATATGAAGCAAGAATGGATAAGATGGTGTGAGGATAAAATAAACCTTTGATTGCAACTTTTCGGGATTCATCACTGCCGCCGATATTGTTTAGTCAAACATACTCCTTTTTTCCACCAACCAATCATTTTGCTCAATTAGATTACTGTTATAAAAACGATTCAGATAATTAAAATTTTCAAAACATAAATATACGCATATAAAATAAAGGATAGGACAGGAATTACAAAATTTAAAATCTATAGTATGAAATAAAAAATAATAAAATAATAAAAAAATAAAAATCACGATTAAAAATTAAAGGGAGATGGAAAAAGTTTCAGACATTTTAAAAATAAAAATATTTTATTTTTAATCTTTCAAAATAAATTATCATTTTTATTCCTCTTATTTTAAGATGTATAATTTTTTTATCCATTTAATCTATTTTAATTGAACTTTCCTCTTTTTATATATTTTGTGTTTTAATTATGGTCAAAACTTGACAACGTATGTTACCGCAATATAATTTTTTTTTACATTTATAAGACCAAAACAACTAAATAAAACCTTAATCTAAGACTAATTTTATATTTTGAAGAAGATTAGACTGCGACTTCTACCCTCTTATAAAAATCAAACCCAAACCTTATTTTAATACCATCATAATCACGCATATATATAATTGAGTAAAATAAGTTTACCTACCCCCAATTTTTTATAGTGTTCTTATTCTCGATATTTAATAAATATATTAACTTTAATAATTTCAAGTTAATGATATTAATACTATTAATTCAAAATAACATAACAATACTCTATTAGATCAAAATATTATTTTTATTAAAAATGATAAATTAAAAAATATATATTTTAAAATTTATTTAAAAATATTAACTTTTCTTCATTTTTACATCACATGTAAGTAAACTAATTAGATATTAGATAAAAACTAGAATAAAAGGTAATAGAACATTTATTGAATTTTAAATATATTATTATTAAATAAAACTATTTTTTCTTAATAAAAGTATAATTAAAAATAAATAGAAAAATAATAAAATGCAGTATTTTTCTTAATTACTTTCATTTAATGCATGTTGAATTAGACATTAATTATGAACATTTATAGAAAAAAAAAAACAGTTTCCTCTAATTCCAATTCTATGTAAAACCTATGAATTAAGAGTTATTAAAGTTGATGAAGATAAATGTAGATATGACATTTCTGACTTCCACCAAAAGTGCATTAGATAGGTTTTTTATTTATGAATTCTGAGCAAAATGAGGGGTAAATACATTATGGTATTTGAATAAAATAAGTTGGACACGGCAATTTCTTTTTGATTTCTTATTATTAATGTTCATAAAAGGGTTTCTATGTGTAGGGACAGAGAATATTATACATATATATATATATATATATATATATATAGATATAGAAATTGAAACAATAGTAATCTACTAATATATGATGTCAGGTGGCAATTTATATAATATCTTGAGTTTTGTATTTTATTGCTACAGTGTGGGACACTTTTTGTTTTTAACTATATAGATATTTTTTAATAAAGAAACAATTTTATTCAAATAAAAAAATGGGAGATATATATATATTTTCTATTGATATCAATTTCACATCAAACTGGTTGTTTATTATTCATGTGAATAAAAATATTTAAAAGGTAGAATTTTAATTTTCACTATTTTACTTAGGCCCTGTTCTCTTGAGTGGATTTGAGGGAATGGATTTGAGGGGATTTGAGAGGATTTGAAAATAATTTTTTTTATCGTTTTTTTAAATAAATTTGGAGGTAAATGAGAGTGAATTTAAAAATAATTTTTTTTAATACGTCATGTCAATACAATTCTATACTAATTCTCACAAATTTTATTTTCAAATTCATTCTCATTTACCTCCAAATTCGCTCAAAAAAACGATAAAAAAAATTATTTTCAAATCCTCTCAAATCCCCTCAAATCCACTCAAGATAACAGGGCCTTAGAGATGGTAAACAATGATATAATATTTCTTTTTTGTCATTTTGTGATTAACTTTTTGATAATGTTATATTTTTTTCTTTTATTTTTAATAAAATAGTATTTAATATATAGATACGTGAAAAAAATAAAAAAGATAAGAATTTCATATCCATTATAAATTTTTTAATTTCATAAATTAAAAAGATGAACATAATTAAAATCTACCTAGCATAATGTTAGAAAACTGTCACATCTTCTCAAGGTTTAATGTTAATGCTACTTTTTTTAAAAAATAATAATTAAAAGTGTGGTTTAAAATGCAACATTTTTAAAAGTTAAAACTTGATTTTTTAACATGAACTTTAACTTTAAAAATAGGAAAAATAAAAAAATAAAAAAACAAAAAAACCTACCAATATCACAAACTTACAAGAAGATCCAACACAACAACTAGTCATCATGATAATGGAATTTGTTGCTTTCACGCAATTGTTAATTGACAAATAATTCATCAAAAGAACTTTAACTTGAAATAAAATCTAATAATTAAATACTGAAATATTAATTTATATAGCCCTGCCTGTTTCAAGAAAATCCATTCTTCTTTCTTTTCTACTCTTTCACACCTGAATCCAGCAATTACTATTTCCAAGCCAACGTGATTCTCAGTATGTCTGTCGTATTTAATGTTGTTTCCTAAATATCTCTATAGAACACGAACAAACGTTGTTTAATAACTAATTATTCAGTTAATGAAAGGCACGAGCTTTTAATTAATTAGTTAATTAGTTACTTGTATTATATATTGTATGGCTTATAGATTAATGGGTATGTTTCTAATTGTCAGCATCACCATCGGTATCATCATTATCATCAAGTTTTCTTTACAAATATCTTCGTTCTGAACGAACCTTTTGTCGAGCACTCACCACACACCATCATGGATTCTCCTTTGTTATTGAAATCCCAAGTTTTGCCTTACAAACACAAATGGATCAAAATCATCTTCTGCGCATTCGTGGCTGCCACAAGTCAGTAACTTTCTCATTCATTTCACTTTTTTACAGTTTTATTATTCGTGGGGTTTTGAAGAATTGTTTTTGTCATATGATCTCGACTGTGAATTACGTGAAGATGTTGTTTTACATGAATTTTAACGTTTGTTAAAGAAGTTCTGCTAAGCCAGAGACTACCCTCTTGCATCCCTTCACAGTGTTCATGACAGGGAAAGTTAAAAGACGACATTTTGTTTGGGATGAACGATTAGATAAATGAATTTTCAAATGATTGATTTTGGGTAAAAAGTAAAGAGTTAATGCACAAGTTCTGCAACAAGATTCTTAATGTTGTGATCATCACGTTTTGAAGTTCGACATCTATAAGAAAAATGTAGGATTCTTTTTATTGATATTGAATGATTGGGTGATCTTTTTTACGTTATTTTTATCATTTGTTCTGAAAAATGCATTGAAGCTTTTACCTACATCATAAATATCAGAATTTAATTACTTTTTCTCAATGATATTTTAAATTGATCATCACCCTAAAAAGTAATTCCTAATTCTGCTCTTGGTTCTGTAATCGAGACTTCTGCTCTGACTGACGGTAACAGAAATTATTTGCTCTCTGTGACTGCCCATGCTGCATTTGTCAGTAATTTATTGCAGTGTCCTAGTTTGGGACGAAACTCATGAATTATTATATATATATATATATATATATATATATATATATAACTGTAATAATTATTTTGAAAGTTGAATCTAATATAGTTGTAATTAGTTGAGATTCCAAGAAGTTTGGAACCACCAAAACTGAGTTTGCAGAAGCAAATATTATGAAAAAATAGCCCAGTCTTCTAATTTTCTGGATGAAGATGGTGTAAATTAAACATTTAGTTGGAAAAAACTAACTTTTTTGTACATCAAAATTAGAAATATAGAATGTAGTGTGGAATCTGGAAAAAGGTGTACATCAGAGGGTGACTAGGAGGACAGTGAACTTCTGTGACAAACATCAGCTTCACAGTAACACAACTAGATTATCATATTGATGTTGGTAAACCAAATCTAGTAATGCTTAGTACAATTTTTTTTCAGTTGTTGGAGTAGTAGTCAAAGACAGCACCAGTTATGGAATACTATCAGGAGCAGAAAAATATAATGAAGGGTTGACAACCAGTGATGAAGATATTGTAGAATCAGATGTGGGAGTTGTTGCAACTGATGATGCTCGATGTTCTGCAATTGGTGTTTCATTGATTAAGCAGGGTGGACATGCTGTGGATGCTGCAGTGGCGGCTGCATTGTGCATTGGCGTTGTTCTCTCAGCATCAAGTGGCATAGGGGGTGGCGGTTTCATGGTTGTTCGATCTTCTTCAACCTCCCAAACACAAGCTTTCGACATGAGAGAAACTGCTCCTGCAGCTGCTTCACAGGTTTGAAGTTAACTCTTTCTGCTAAACCATTAAAGCTGTTGAACCTCATGCTTGACATATCAAAGGACAAAATTAACATTTTCCTTTTAGTATGTTCAACCTGTTTAGATAAACTTCTTCAAAATATTTTATAAAGAAAAAAATTCTATAAATTAGTTTGTAGAGAACTTTTGTTTATTTATAAAGATTGAAAATTTTACTTGTCAGAGCTTCTGGGTATGTTTATTTATTCGGATCCACAGAACAATCTTGGCTTTTACTGCTTACTTGGACGTGTTGAATGATAACAGTTCATTTTCATCCATGGAAATCCAGAATAGTGTAACTTATGCTTGTGTGTATATTTTACTGCCGACAAACAGAATATGTATGAGAAAAATCTCAAGGATAAGAGCTTAGGTGTATTGTCAATGGGAGTTCCTGGTGAATTGGCAGGCTTTCATGCAGCTTGGTTAAAGCATGGACGATTTCCATGGAAGACCTTATTCCAACCAGCTATAGAACTTGCTAAAAAAGGTTTTGAAGTGTCTCCTACTCTTGGAGATTTCATAGCTAAAGATGCCAAAAAGATATTGGATGATCCTGGGTTAAGAAAGCTATATGCACCCGAAGGAACTTTGCTGAAAGAAGGGGATGTGTGTAAAAATGAGGAACTCGGTCGCACCTTGGAGGTAGTGGCAGAGCAAGGACCACAAGCTTTCTACAATGGTACCATTGCTGAAAAGTTAGTGAAGGATGTCAAAGAGGCTGGTGGAATTTTAACAATGGAAGATCTACGCAATTACAAGGTGGAAATAGCAGATGCAATGACTCTGAATGTGATGGGATACACCATATATGGAATGCCACCTCCTTCGTCTGGAACACTTGCTCTTTCACTGGTTTGTACATTCCTCTCCCCTCTTTTCTGCCATGTTGCTCTGTAGATATTAAGACATCCTTTTTTTTCATGATTCTATTACTGCATATACGGAATAGAATCAACTGTTTTGGTTCAAAGATTGGAGCATGTCATTCTAAAAGCTTAAGCAGTTTCATTAGTCTATCGATAGATGAATTTTATATCTCCAATAAAGCAAAACCTGGGGAACACCATTTGATATCAATGGGAATTCTGCAACAATTGTTTCTCATGTCCTTTTGTTTTTGGTTGTTTGTGAACAGGTTCTAAACATCTTGTACAGTTATGGAGATCCTAATGCTGCAAGGGGAAATCTTGGTCTACATCGTCTAATAGAAGCTCTGAGATTCATGTTTTCTGTTAGAATGAACTTGGGTGACCCTAACTTCGTTGAAAACATTGATGATACTATATCCAAAATGCTTTCCCCATCTTTTGCCAAAGAAATTCAGCAAATGATTTTTGATAACACTACTTTCCCTCCAGAGTACTATATGGGCAGGTGCGATCTACTACTGGAAATTGGAATAAAAACATTCCCTTTTGCAAGATGTGTTGAAAAATCACTAAGTTGTTAACAAAAAGTAATTGATAACCATGTTGTTGGGCAGGTGGAGTCAACTGAGAGATCATGGAACAAGTCATTTGTGTATTGTTGATGCTGATAGAAATGCTGTATCACTAACATCAACAGTAAACTATCATTTTGGAGCTGGGTTTCGTTCTACTTCTACTGGTATTGTGGTCAACAATGAGATGGATGACTTCTCTGCACTCACTGAAATATCCCCTGATAAGCTGCCTCCAGCTCCAGCAAATTTTATTGAACCAAACAAAAGACCACTGTCTTCCATGACTCCTCTTATCGTCACAAAGGTATTCCTTTGGATTTTCAGTGTGAATTGCTCAAACCTCCATATCATCAATTCTAACCAAGAAAAAAGCAATTACCTTATTAAATTTGGAGAGTAAGGATTCTTACACATGAACATTCCTCTTGCAGAATGACGAGTTGGTTGGGGTGCTTGGAGGGAGCGGTGGAATGAACATTGCTCCAGCAGTGATTCAAGTCTTTGTTAATCATTTCATCTTGGGAATGAAACCCTTGGATGCAGTTCTGAGCCCAAGGATCTATCACAAGGTACTGACTGATCTTTATTTAGATAATTCCGTGATGTGTGATGCTCCAAACTTGGATCTGATTTGGATCTTTATCTCATGCAGCTAATACCAAATGTAGTTAGTTATGAGAATTTGACTGCACTGAACGGTGATCACATTGAGCTTTCTAAAGAAAGAAGGATTTTCCTGGAAGAAAGAGGTCATGTACTGAGTGAGTGTGGAGCTTTAGCTATCACTCAATTTGTTGTTCAAAATCCGAAAACTGCAACTGACATGAATAGGAAAATTGGTAAAAACATCAACTTACAATCAAAGCATGGTACTCTTATTGCCGTAAGTGATCCTCGAAAAGGTGGATGTCCGGCTGCTGTTTGATTGTATCGATCAATTCAGATTCAAAATTGTACAATACAGACATTTCAGAACAAAATACAAATTTTTTAGGCATTAATCTATACCATGCCTGACAAAGAAAAAAAAATGATTAGTTCATCATTCTCCCAACCGTTGAAAACTTGATGGTACTCTGTTCATCATTCTCACATAAAATACAACTGATGTGGTTTAATAGTAGTGCTCCCATATCTTATGAACCCAAACAGAAATGCTTTTGACTATATGAATTGAGATGAAACAACAGTTATATTTTCAAATATAAATCTAAATAGTGAAGGACCTGTTTGGTAGGTAAGTTGAAAACATTTGAGTGAATGAAATAAGTTGATGGGTATTTGGTATAATATAAAAGAATGAACCTTTTAATTAATAAAACTTACCATTTCTAATTAATTTGTATTCATCTTTTTCTTTTTTCTCTTCGTTTTTTTCATTTTTGTTTAACTAAATACCTTCATTTCCTTCTTTCTACTTTATTTTTGACTTATTTTCACTCATTAATTTTATTTACATCTTCCTATTTCTGTCCTATATACCAATCAAAACATAAATGATTACTACTAACTTATCATTTGATTTAGATGCAAAAACACGTTAGGTTTAATTCTCCACTTATCTCATCACTCTTCAGAATTCGTGAAATTATAATAACACTTTCTATACATTTATCCCGAAACCTTTTTTAATTATTTAAAAATACAATTATAAAACATTGCAGCTTGTCCTCTTTAGAATGTTACTCTGAACGATTGTCATGGCTTTAGCATTTAGTAGCTCGAGCCTTTCATATTCAACTATAGGAAAGTCCATTTGAAAGCCATGTTCATGCAATTAACCCTAAAATAAAATAGATAATCTTTAGACTCCTACATCCGGCTGGAAAATTTATTGCGTATGTTACATAACTACACCTCAACTGGTCGGAACGGTCAACGTGCAATCTTAATTTGAAATTTATAATTTCCATTATCAGGGTATTTTTCTAATGCCAAATGCCATTTGAAAAAAAAAAAAAAACTAGTTCATAATCATTCATACAAGGGGTGTGAGAAAAACAAGACAGAAAGTTACACGCGAATTTTCCTTCATACTGAAAATTATAGATTATCTTGTCTATTGTACACAGAACGATATTCATACATCAAAAGCCGGGCATATTTCTTTTTTTCTCCTTCAAGATGTTTTATCCATCAGCTGAATTGGAGTCAGAATATTTGATTTGTTTGTCTCCACAATACAACCATTCATAACCATTTCCTCCAACATAAAATGCGCCTTTTCTAAATGGAACATAATATCTAGCTCGCACTGCAAGTAAAAGTGAAGGAGAAATAAGTAAATTACCGGAATATACCTTCAAAACAGGGAAGATCAGTTTCTAAATCGAGACATACCACATTGCCAAAATGACGATCCATTGTTTCAACCAAGAGGTGTATAAATTCCAAAATAGCGAGCTCATTCTGCATCATTATCAGCAGAAGGTCGAATAAGAAGTCATGAAGATTCTAAATATTTCCCATGGTTTACACAAGAGTGACATGGATCCCACTCTTCTAAACATAAACAACTCACTTTAGAAGATAAAGTAAGTAAGTAATTCCAGTCATTAATAAAAACGTCAACAGCCTATATTACATATACATGCATAAGAAACCAAGAAGAGCATGTTGCAACGTCAACCATTAATTTTCTCATCGACAACTTTGATTACTTATTTTATCCTTACTCACCTTAGAGGAGTTAAAGCCAAGTGATATATATATATATATATATATATATATATATATGCAAGAAATCACTTCAGATAAACTAAATCAAAGTCATTGATGAGAAAACTAATGGTCAACTTTACAGTACATGCATAATCAACCAGCAAAAGAAAAACATTTACATGCACAACAAATCATAAATGTATTGGTCAAATTTCTCATAAACGGCAATGATTACTACTTGTTTCACCCTTAACTCGCTTTAGAGGAACTAAATCCAAGTGATATTCACATAATTCCGGTAAAGATGCATACCAGATCAATATAATCAGGTTGATCACTGTTATGGAATACGAGCAAGTAAAATACTGAGGAAATATCATTCAACATGTGATGAACAAATCATAAGTGAAATTGACGCCACATCACATCAACACCTTAAAGCATAACATCTTTCATTTATGTTCAATTAATTCCAGATTTCTTCACTAACACTCGCCACTCTAACATTACATTTTACAGCAAACTGAAATATCCTCTCAATTTCAAAGAATTCATTTATGTTAAGAAGACACTTAACTGCTTAGTTTTCACACGAACTTCAAATTCCACTGTCTTTCGATGAAAATAAGGCGTAGAGAAAGGAATTTTATAATTTACCTCGTCATCATCGACTCCAACGAGGAAAAACAAGGAGGCGTAGCGCCTGTACACTATTTTGTAGTTGCGATGCTCAACAAAGGAACACTGTCCATCATCAAAAACGACGAAAAACAATTTACGAGTGAGAATTCGAAATCAGAAAGTTGAATCGCGCATAAAGCGAATGCTGAATACAGAAGATGGATCTGAATAGTTAAATTGTGGATCTAAATAAGATTGAAATGGAACCTGTTGTTCGTTGCGGGCGAGACATTTACGAACGATTTCACCTTCGAGTGCTCGACGCTCTTCGAGAGTGAGGTATTCGTAGTACTGAGCAAGGCGCGTTTGGCCTTGCTTGTTCACCATCAACACGAATCGGATCCCCATTCTGATTCTGCCCTAATTCAATCTTTCTCTACAAATCTCAACAAACAACACCTTATTTTTTCTTTCAACACATACTACTGACGTGTTTTTTTTTTTTTTTTATATATAACAAATAATAATTTCGACTTATTTGATTTAGTTGTTGATTTTTGGAAGTTTTAATTTCTAAATCACGGTTTTCTTCTCTTTCACTTTTTTCTTTTTTGAATTTTACTAAAAATTAAAATATTAGTCAATTTTTTTTTAAATTAATTTATTTACTATCGTTACCTCTTTAAACAATTAACTAATAACGAATAGACGTTACGTGTCAGTTAATGTTTTTTTATTTTATTTTTAAAAAAGTTATGTGTTAATTGAGTATTGTGTCAGTATTATCATGTATCAAAGTTAACTACACGTGAGAGTGTTAGTATCGTATCTTATATTTAATTTAGTTTCTATATTATTTTTTTATAATTTTTTTTAAATAAAATAATTTTTTTATTTTATTTCAAAATATTCTAAATTTAACTTTTATATAAATATTATACTGATATTATTATTAAAATTTACATATTTATTAAATATTTATAGTTTAGGATTAAAGTTATTTTAAAATTAGTATAAAATTTTTTAAAAATACAACTAATTTTATTGGTTTAAAATTTTAAAAGATAAAAATCAATTAAAATATTTAATACTTTATGTAATTTTTAAATTAAAAATCAATTAAATAATTTATCTAAAAATTAATATAATATTTATATAAAAGTTCAATTTGAATTTAATTTAAAAACATAAAAAATGTTTCGATTAAAAGACATTAAGACTAAATTGAATAAAAATAAAAAATAAAAAGATCAAATGAATCTAAAACATCAATGTATAATAATAATTAACACGTAACAGTTTACACTTACTAACATGTAACACTACAACTATTATGTAACATGACGTTTTCTTGATACTAAAACACATTTTTAAATTAAATAAATAAAAAAAATCCACTATTCATTACGAATTATCTATTAATTATTTAAACGAGAAAAAACAAATTAATGAAAATTAAAATATTGTTTTAAGAAAAAATAACATTATTTTAAGGAAAAAATATTAGGATTGAATTGATAAAACTGAACTATATTTTAACCTTAAATAAAATATGATAGGTTTAGAGGTTAATTTGAAAAAAAATGGAATATTTCACTGTTGTTTTAAATCATTATTAGCGACAATTTAATTAAGATTGAAATATTTTCCAAATTTAAATATTTTTAAGAGAGGTTTTTATTAAAAATTCTCATTAAAATCCTTTTATTTTTTAAGTGAATCTATATCATCAATTAGATAACAACGTTCGTTTGATTTTATAATTTCAAACAAATCACCATCATATAAATAATAAAAATGAAAGTCTAATATCTTAATTATCTCGGTAAAGAATAATATCATTCCATTTTATAAATTAAATACTAGAACAAAAATAAAATCAAATACCTTCTAATTAACGATGAAATCAATTGAAAAAATAATAAAATCCCATATAACAATTTTTTTAATAGAATTTGAATTAAAAATAATCAAATTTTATTTAAAATAAATAAATATTAATCACAAGATACTTAAATTTTAATTAAATCATTATACACGTGAACAAACAATTAACAGCAATAATCACACCACTTTAATTAATTACAAAAATTTAATTATAAATATTTATTAAAAAGTATAAAAATTCTAAATATAAAGTAAAAACCTTTAACAAAAAGGTCAAATCTTTCATTTAAAGTAAGTACAAATCAGCTATTAATGATAATAAAATAAAGCCACCACCTTTAATTTTGGAATCGAAGTCTAAATCCAAATATAATATTTTTCCATAGTCGGATAACATATAATAGTAGAATTTAAGTCAAGCACGAAATTTCATTTCATAATAATTTATAAATAATACTGCCACATTCATCACACTCGTTTTCCAATTTCTACAAGTCAAAAACTTCCAAGCCTAAGCTTCTTGGCTGCTCTGAGTTGATCAAACTTCCAACTTTGACAAGGTTCTGGAAATTCACATAGTACCACTCACACAAATCCATTACACTTAAATCTTTCAGATCCCACGAATCAAATGACATAAATGGTTTCATTTAATCAAAAAATTTTGTTGGATTTATCGAGAAGCTCTGATAATAATGAAATATGAGCCCAACCATATAACATGTTACCTTAATATTAGCCCAACCATATAACATGTTACCTTAATATTACCTTAAACCAATGATTAATGTGTCTTTCATACCTAAAACCTTAAAGCAATTATTAATGCGTCTTTACATAGTGCACTGCTTTCTCTCAATGGGACTTACTATCACACTTGAATCTCCGATTTACATTAAATATTCTAAAAATTTATCTTTCATCTGTCACTCCATTACTGTCCATTTGGTGTGTTTGATTTGCCTAGTGCCTACAGTGAGCAAAGCTAGTTGTGGATATTCAATTCAAACCAATGAAAGTTCATTTCCAGATAAAGCAATCTCATTGGAAAGCAACAACATTCTGACAAGCATTTTCATGGTGCAAGGCTGAGTTTTCCACAGCCATCTTATTGACAAACAAGGGCAAAATGATAGCTCTTATATACTATTAAGTGTATCGCATGACAAAGGGTCACAAATCACAACAATAACTAGCAAGCTGCAGGATAGACATGGCTGATTTCGTTGTTATCCAAAGTGACTTTGGAAATTCGATCATTCGGTACCTGATGCAATGTTTCTTCTTCCTTCGTCTCTTCATGGTCACCCTTCACATCCAAAAAACTGGGTTGATTTGTCGAAGATAAAAGCCTAGCCCACATTCTATCAGTTATCACTACGTGGTTCTGTCTCTCAGTGATTCTCTGCATAACAAAGCAAGAAAGTATGAAACTTTATTACAAAGGGGTTTGTTAAATGTTAATAAATAAATCTTATTTATTCTCTGGAACCAGAAAGTATCATGGCTGATGAACTTACATAGAAGGGTATATAAGTTTGTCTTCCATTGACAAGTCCACTGGTATAGCCAGTGTAACCTGCCATTGCTCCATGAACAGCACTTTGAGCAAGAAGTGTGCAATACACGTTATCAGAAGCATTGCTTGGAATAGCTCGGATCATGTAAGTTGGATCTGTAAAACAGAAAAGCGAAGCCTTTAGTACTTCAGCCATTGCCCCTTTCAGTGTGTGCACGCATGAAAATGCACCAAGTTTAATCATTTTTACAAACCTATGTATTTGAGAGTTATTGGTAGTGTCTTCTGTTCAGCAAAATGATCCTGCAAGGTCAAAATGCTTAAAGTAAGCGACAGAAAAGATTCGCAAATAGTAATAATATAGAATGCAAATAGAATGAACAACTATCCAACCCTAATCTTTTGGGATATCCATAGGCCAACATCTTGAAGAAGCTTGTTTCCAGAAGCATCCTGCGTGCCCATGGACTCCACACTCTCAGAAACAAGTTCTTGTCCTGCTCCTTCAGCAATCACAATAACCATGTGCCCATTTTCCTTGAGTCTTTTCTCTATATATTCATAAAGTCCACCAGGACCTTCAAGGTAAAAGGGTGACTCTGGAATTAAGCAACAATCCACATCTCGACTTGCAAGAGTAGCATACATTGCAATAAATCCTGCACCATACACCATGTATGAAGTGAAGTCAGGTTCACTAACAAGTCAATAGAAGAACTTTTGAGCATCGTATTAGCTTCTTTTTTCTTTGAGAAGTCTAATAAGAAACAAGGTATAAGCTTCTCATAATTCTTAGGCAATTGATAGTAAAATTGAACCCTTAAGCAGCTCTGTGGAGGCATTATAAGCATTTAGGAAAATTACCGCTGTTTCTACCCATCAACTTGACCACACCTATGCCATTTTCAACACTTTCAGCCTCAACATGTGCAGCATTTATAGCTCGTTGAGCCTCCTCAACAGCAGTGTCAAAGCCAAAGGACTTGTCAATAACCTATTAAGCAACAAAATGACAGCAGAAGAAATTTACCAACTAATGATGCTAATGGGGTTTAAACTATAAGTTTAAAGCCAAATAAAGGCAGAATGTAGAAGAAATAAAGATTTACCGGGATGTCATTGTCTATTGTTTTGGGGATTCCTACAACTGAAACTTTTAGACCACGCCTTCTGACTTCCTGCATGGATAATCAGGTTGAATTATTAAGTAACTGCTCCTCTGATGCAATTAGTTTCACAGATCTTATATATCCAAACGATTTTGTTAAAATGTTCGCTCATATTCCTAAACACATAATTCTGATAGTCATTTTAGATACCTCAAAAATTGCAGATGCACCCTTTTGAGTTCCATCTCCTCCAATGATATAAACCTGAATTCAGAAAGATATTAATCTGATGTACATACACACTAAAAATACTACACAATGGAAAGAAATGCAGACCTGATTGATTCCCCGATCTTGAATACTGTCAACTATCTTTTTGGTGTCATGTCCTCCCCGTGATGTTCCGAGGACAGTCCCCCCACGCTTATGTATATCATTCACACTCTTAGGAGTTAAAGTGATTGTGTTGCGAGCATAGAAACCCCTGTATCCTCCCTTCACATCATAACAGTATCATTAGTTAAAGAAACCAGTAAGAAACTATGATAGCGTGAGAGAACCAAAGATGGTGATAACTAACTCCAGAATAAATGACTTTTAAGTAACACCAAATAAGTAAAAGCCTGTACAATTATTACAGAGCAAGAACAATGCATTGGTCTCTTTAGACAAGCGCAAATTAGTACATTAACAACCAGTCACAGGCATTTAATGCTTGTCTGAAACGATAGAAAATAAAGCACAGAACTTGATCGCCCTAATCCCAAAACAACACTATAAAGTAATTAAAAAGAGAAAAAAGCATGAAGAATGAGAGTAAATGCCATATTGCCATATACATTCACGTACATTGATTCCCAGAACTCTCTTCACGCCATACATATGGTTCAAGCCACATACTAATTNTGTTGTTTTAAATCATTATTAGCGACAATTTAATTAAGATTGAAATATTTTCCAAATTTAAATATTTTTAAGAGAGGTTTTTATTAAAAATTCTCATTAAAATCCTTTTATTTTTTAAGTGAATCTATATCATCAATTAGATAACAACGTTCGTTTGATTTTATAATTTCAAACAAATCACCATCATATAAATAATAAAAATGAAAGTCTAATATCTTAATTATCTCGGTAAAGAATAATATCATTCCATTTTATAAATTAAATACTAGAACAAAAATAAAATCAAATACCTTCTAATTAACGATGAAATCAATTGAAAAAATAATAAAATCCCATATAACAATTTTTTTAATAGAATTTGAATTAAAAATAATCAAATTTTATTTAAAATAAATAAATATTAATCACAAGATACTTAAATTTTAATTAAATCATTATACACGTGAACAAACAATTAACAGCAATAATCACACCACTTTAATTAATTACAAAAATTTAATTATAAATATTTATTAAAAAGTATAAAAATTCTAAATATAAAGTAAAAACCTTTAACAAAAAGGTCAAATCTTTCATTTAAAGTAAGTACAAATCAGCTATTAATGATAATAAAATAAAGCCACCACCTTTAATTTTGGAATCGAAGTCTAAATCCAAATATAATATTTTTCCATAGTCGGATAACATATAATAGTAGAATTTAAGTCAAGCACGAAATTTCATTTCATAATAATTTATAAATAATACTGCCACATTCATCACACTCGTTTTCCAATTTCTACAAGTCAAAAACTTCCAAGCCTAAGCTTCTTGGCTGCTCTGAGTTGATCAAACTTCCAACTTTGACAAGGTTCTGGAAATTCACATAGTACCACTCACACAAATCCATTACACTTAAATCTTTCAGATCCCACGAATCAAATGACATAAATGGTTTCATTTAATCAAAAAATTTTGTTGGATTTATCGAGAAGCTCTGATAATAATGAAATATGAGCCCAACCATATAACATGTTACCTTAATATTAGCCCAACCATATAACATGTTACCTTAATATTACCTTAAACCAATGATTAATGTGTCTTTCATACCTAAAACCTTAAAGCAATTATTAATGCGTCTTTACATAGTGCACTGCTTTCTCTCAATGGGACTTACTATCACACTTGAATCTCCGATTTACATTAAATATTCTAAAAATTTATCTTTCATCTGTCACTCCATTACTGTCCATTTGGTGTGTTTGATTTGCCTAGTGCCTACAGTGAGCAAAGCTAGTTGTGGATATTCAATTCAAACCAATGAAAGTTCATTTCCAGATAAAGCAATCTCATTGGAAAGCAACAACATTCTGACAAGCATTTTCATGGTGCAAGGCTGAGTTTTCCACAGCCATCTTATTGACAAACAAGGGCAAAATGATAGCTCTTATATACTATTAAGTGTATCGCATGACAAAGGGTCACAAATCACAACAATAACTAGCAAGCTGCAGGATAGACATGGCTGATTTCGTTGTTATCCAAAGTGACTTTGGAAATTCGATCATTCGGTACCTGATGCAATGTTTCTTCTTCCTTCGTCTCTTCATGGTCACCCTTCACATCCAAAAAACTGGGTTGATTTGTCGAAGATAAAAGCCTAGCCCACATTCTATCAGTTATCACTACGTGGTTCTGTCTCTCAGTGATTCTCTGCATAACAAAGCAAGAAAGTATGAAACTTTATTACAAAGGGGTTTGTTAAATGTTAATAAATAAATCTTATTTATTCTCTGGAACCAGAAAGTATCATGTCTGATGAACTTACATAGAAGGGTATATAAGTTTGTCTTCCATTGACAAGTCCACTGGTATAGCCAGTGTAACCTGCCATTGCTCCATGAACAGCACTTTGAGCAAGAAGTGTGCAATACACGTTATCAGAAGCATTGCTTGGAATAGCTCGGATCATGTAAGTTGGATCTGTAAAACAGAAAAGCGAAGCCTTTAGTACTTCAGCCATTGCCCCTTTCAGTGTGTGCACGCATGAAAATGCACCAAGTTTAATCATTTTTACAAACCTATGTATTTGAGAGTTATTGGTAGTGTCTTCTGTTCAGCAAAATGATCCTGCAAGGTCAAAATGCTTAAAGTAAGCGACAGAAAAGATTCGCAAATAGTAATAATATAGAATGCAAATAGAATGAACAACTATCCAACCCTAATCTTTTGGGATATCCATAGGCCAACATCTTGAAGAAGCTTGTTTCCAGAAGCATCCTGCGTGCCCATGGACTCCACACTCTCAGAAACAAGTTCTTGTCCTGCTCCTTCAGCAATCACAATAACCATGTGCCCATTTTCCTTGAGTCTTTTCTCTATATATTCATAAAGTCCACCAGGACCTTCAAGGTAAAAGGGTGACTCTGGAATTAAGCAACAATCCACATCTCGACTTGCAAGAGTAGCATACATTGCAATAAATCCTGCACCATACACCATGTATGAAGTGAAGTCAGGTTCACTAACAAGTCAATAGAAGAACTTTTGAGCATCGTATTAGCTTCTTTTTTCTTTGAGAAGTCTAATAAGAAACAAGGTATAAGCTTCTCATAATTCTTAGGCAATTGATAGTAAAATTGAACCCTTAAGCAGCTCTGTGGAGGCATTAT